AACAAAGACACTGGAGCACAACAAAAGTAATTGGAATACAGTTCTTGTAAAGCTCAAATCTATTTTTCTTTCACAATGAGCAAAATATTTCACTTTTATAACGACTGCTTCCTGCAGTAAAAAACATTGCCCAGTAGCTTGCAGTCATATACATAGGTTTTCTAGGTGCATCAAATAGCATAAAAAACCAATCTGTTACCTAATAAAATGTACATTTACTACTTTTTACCTTTCAAGTGTTCTTTATGAATATTCAAAATAGCCAGTAAGTAATAGAATTCTCCTTCAATAACTCATCCTTCGGCCTTCAGGTGGGACCAGACTATGGGAATCCCTCTCAGTGCTTCCCAAAGTGTGTTTCCCAGAACATAGATTCCACAGAATGTCAAAATTATGCCACTCAAAAAAAAATAGTTTCTTAAACAGGAAAAGGAAATGCTGGGCAACAACATGAAACACTGTACAACTGCTCAGGTCTTTTAAAATGCTAATACATGTGGGAAAATCTTCAGTGTGTGTGTATGTGTGTATGCTGTCTTGAAAAAGTTCATAGAAAGGCCCAGCACAATGGCTCAATTAGATAATCCTCTCTTTTACAAGTGCCAAAATCCCATATGAGCACTGATTTGCATCGAGCTGTTCCACTTCCCTTCCAGCTCTCTGCTTGTGGCCTTGGAAAACAGAGGAGGATAGCTCAAAGCCTTGGGACCTTGCATCCACATGGGCAACCTAGAAGTCCTGGCTTTGGATCAGCTCAGCTCCAGCCACTGTGACCATCTGTGGATTGGTTTGGCTCCAGCTGTTGTGGCCATTTGGGGAATGAACCAGCAGATGGAAGATCTTTCTTTGTCTCTACTTCTCTTTCTAAATCTGCCTTTTGAATAAAAATAAATAAGTGTTTATTTAAAAAAAGAAAGACCTCACAAAAGCTATGCATTTACTTCAAGAGTTTCTGCATCAAAATGAAAACTTGTTTTTTAATCCCTTTTTTCTAAAACATTTTTGTGTAGGTTGTTGAGTTTTACAAGTAGTTTCACCTCGGAATCTGTTTGGTTACTGAGCATCCTTCAGAACTGGCCTTCTTGGAGTCACTGATCTTATTTCCATGACCCAAGCTGAGCATAAGTGACAAGAAAGAGAACTAAGTTGGGGTCCAGGCTTTGGCACACTATAGAATTGTATTCAGCTACTAGGGGCACCTGTTGCCCACATTTGCTCACAAAGAGACAGACTTCATGTTTTACTCTCAAGAGCAACTAGAAATTTGGATTTTTATTAGGTTGAATGTGTTTTAAAATGTTCCGTGGAATCAACATTTCAGTTGAGCTTCTTGATTTGGACCTGTGCCCCAAGATGATGCTTTGCAAACCCATGCTATAAAACTTACAACCAGAAAAGTCACATCCAGACAAAATCATCTTTAAGGGTCATCTTACTGGTCATGAAAGAACTGATCTGATCACCCGGGGTCAGTGTAGTGGCACAGTGAGTTAAGCCAACTGCAAAGCTGAAATATTAGATAAACACCAGTTTGAGTCCCAGTCGCTCCACTCCTGATCCAGCTTTCTATTAATATACATGAGAAAGTAGCAGAGGATGGCCCAAATATTTGCATCCTCGCCTCTCATGTGACAAATGGAAATAGCTTCTGGCTTCCAGTTGGCCATTTAAAGAGAGAACCAGCAAATAGAGGATTTCTCTCTGTATGCTTCCCTCCTCCATTTGTAACTCTGCCTTTTAACTAAATCAATCAATCTTTGGGGAAAAAAATAGTAGGACTCCCAGTAAACCAAAGGAAAGACAACACAAAGTCCTTCTCAGGATCTGGTAAACAATCCAGATCCTAAGGAAACTTTATGGCGAGTTAAGACAACAGAGACAGGAACTTGGAAATCAAACTTAGAGCAGAGATCTTTCAAGAGTGGAAGGGAACATAAAAGGAGCCTGCTGTGAGAGAGGGTAAATTGTGTAGTTTAAAAAGTCATAATCAGGGCCCGGCGCGGTGGCGCAAGTGGTTAAGTCCTCGCCTAGCACGCCCGGGATCCCATATGGGCGCCGGTTCTGGTCCCGGCGGCCCCGCTTCCCTTCCAGCTCCCTGCCTGTGGCCTGGGAAAGCAGTCGAGGACGGCCCAAGGCTTTGGGAACCTGCACCCGCGTGGGAGACCCGGAAGAGGCTCCTGGCTTCGGATCGGCATAGTATCGACCCGTTGCGGCTCACTTGGGGAGTGGATCATCGGACGGAAGATCTTCCTCTCTGTCTCTCCTCTCTGTATATCCGCCTTTCCAATAAAAAAATAATAAAAATAAATCTTAAAAAAAAAAAAAAGTCATAATCAGAGAATCAAGATGGCAGAATAGAGTAAGGACATGTTTAAACAGAAAGAGAAAAATTAGCCAGAGTGAAGCAGAGAGGGTACATTCCAGAAAATAGGAGGGCAGACCAACAGCAGAGGGGCACCTGGAGATTGATGGACACAGGAAAGCAGCAGAGACAACAGTGTGGTGCTGTAGTGACCCGATACCCAAGCAGCATTCAGCAAGCTGCGATCTGAACTCCACCAGGGGCTGGAACTCCACCAACAAGCAGGTAGGAAGGGGAGTTCACTGGGAACTCAGGAGGTAAACCCAGACACAGGAAAAAAAAATGCCCATCTTGCTGGTTTGTTTGATTTGACCAGGAGCAGAGACAGAGCAGCAGATCCCAAACGGGTGGTGTGGGAACAAGGTAGATATTACAGCCTAAATCCCCACTGGAGCTGAATCGAGTGCCATCTTGTGCAGGGAGGCAATGGCTATGGGACAGGACTGCACATGCACTAAGCTGGAAGTGAACTCATTTCGGGGTCAGTGAATTCAAACAACATGGCATCCTTCAGGTTTCACCCAACATAGGTCTAGGTAGCCCGCAAACCTAATAATGGCCAGCAGATCAAGAACTTCACGAGTTTCACATCAGGTGCCATTATGTACAGTGTGGCAACGGCTTTGACAACAGTGAACTGCGCTTGTGCTATCATCCTGGGAACTGCACAAACTGGAACTGGGAGAAACACTATACAGACAATGGTGCAACAATAGGGTGAGATCACAGGAGGTGGGGCCTGTTGAGCCAGGAGTTGGGCTACACAGACCATGGTAGAAGTTTAACACAACGGCCCAGATCTGAAACTCACTGGAGGCAAAGGCAAAGGCACAGTGATAACTGCAGATCTGTGGGTGACACAGCTTAGAAACCTGTCCATAGGAGAAGAATCTGATAACAATGAGGAAGAGCAAAAGAAGAGACAGAAGTACAATAAACATTACTGAAGACTCCTGCAACGGAGCACAACCCTTTGCCAACCTTAGAGTTAACTGAGGAATACATCGAGAAAATGGGCGATACAGAATTCATAACACTTGTTATAAAACTTCTTATCAACAACCAGACATATGTAATACAGGAGTTCTGGCAATTTAAGGAATATGTCACACTGAAAATGAATCAAATGAAAGCTGATATGTCAGAAAAGAAGAAGACAATGGAGAAAATTGAAAGTATGGTGGAGAGTGGCTAAAATAGAATGGATGAAGCCGAAGAAAGAATTTCAAAATTAGAAGATATTTCCTGTCACCAGGAGGAAACAAAAACAAAAAAAACTGGAAGCAGAGCTGCTAAAAGCTAAAAAAGTATTGAAGAAATGAAAGACACTATTAAAAGGTCTAATATAAGAGTTAAGCAACTCCCAGAAGGTGCAGAAAGAGAAACTGGGTTAAAATATGTATTTAATAGGGCCTGGTGTGATAGCCTAATGGCTAAAGTCCTCACCTTGATTGCGCCAGGATCCCATATGGGCACTGGTTCTAATCCTGGCAGCTCCACTTCCCATCCAGCTCCCTGCTTCTGGCCTGAGAAAGCAGTCGAGGACAGCCCAAAGCCTTGGGACCCTGCACCCATGTGGGAGATGTAGAGAAAGTTCCTGGCTCCTGGCTTCAGATCGGCACAGCACTGGCTGTTGTGGTCACTTGGGGAGTGAATCATTGGACAGAAGATCTTGCTCTCTGTCTCACCTCCTCTCTGTAAATCTGATTTTGCAATAAAAATAAATAAATCTTTTAAAATGTATTTAATAAAATAATAAAGGGAAACGTCCCTAATCTGGAAAAAGAAATGGGAAAAAACATCCAGGAGGGGCACAGAACTCCCAACAGTGTTGATCAAAAGCAATCTTCACAACAGTTGATAATTAATCTCTTTTCAATTGAACATAAGGAAAAGATACTTAAAGGTACATGTAAAAAAAAAAGCAATTGACATATAGAGGAATGACAGTTAAATTCACAGCTGACCTCTCACAGGAAACTCTACAGGACAGAAGAGAATGGAGCCACATATTCTACATTCTAAAAGCACAAAATTGTCAGCCCAGGATAACATACCCAGCCAAGCTTTCCTTTGTCTTTGAAAATGAAATAAAGTTCTTCCACAATAAAGAAAAGTTAAAAGAATATGCCTCTTTCAAACCTGCCCTACAAATGATACTTTAAGATGTTCTCTTGACAGAGAAGTGGAATAGCACCTACCAAAACCAAAGGCAAATGTGAAGAACATCTCAGTAAAATAACAACAGAAGAACATCCTATTGCTAAATGACAAGAACAAATTACCACCTATTTACATTAACCAGAATGTAAATGGCTTAAACTCATCAGTTGAATGTCATAGTTTAGTAGACAGGTTTTAAAAAAAAAAACCAAAAAAACAAAAATATCTATTTGTTGCCTACAGGAGATACATCTCACCAACAAAGATCAGCGGAAACTTTATCTCATGGATTTTGATGTTTTTAGCTTTGTTTCATCAGAACTTTCTTTCCAGATCATACAGTGGCCTCATTTTCTTCAAGAAGGTTCTTGATTTCCTTTTTCACTTCTTCAGTGACACATTAGTCATTCAGTAGCATGTTATTTAACTTCATGGCATTTTTAATTTCTTCTTTTCCTCCTGTTGTTGATTTTGTTTTGTGCCTTTTCATTTAAGGGGATGTTTAGTAACTGTAATGAAGACCATCATATCCACAGGCATGTTGTTTAGCTTCATGGCATTGTAAATTTCTGGTTTTCTTCCTGTTATTGGTTTTGCTTTGTGGCTCTTCACTTGAGGGGGTGGGATTTACAGTGACTGGGTAGTGGAGACTGACATGTCCAGATGTGAGGATACGGTGCAGTGTGCATCTCTACTTGTGGATCGAGGATGGCCTCCCAGTGAAGCTGTTGGATGTGTGTTGACAATGGGATGCTGGACTCTGCCATTGTCCATGTCTGCAATGATGGACTTACGAAGTCTATGAGGAACTATGCTGTTGCAATGATATGGGAGAACTCAGTGTGAGGAGGAGGGGTCAGGGCAAGGGTTAGGGGAAATCCCAAGGCCTATGGAACTGTATCATAAAATAACAATGATAATAACAATTAAAAAATAAAGAGAAACAAAAAATAGTAACATCATCATGCAGAACCTTTATTAACTCATCTCATTTTCTTGTGGCCCACGGGTCATCTAAACTGTAATCCACAAGCATTAAAAGTATAACCAATGTTCACCAGAAACGAAAGAGCAACATCATTCGATTTTATTATTCTGTTAAGGCTGCCATAACCAACATTACACACTGTGATTTGAAAACCACAAATTTAGGGGAAGGCAATTGCTCTAACATCTAGGATGCCAGGAGGGATGCCTCCATCCTACAACAGTACCTGGCCTAGAGACCCAGCTCAGGTTCCTGACTGCAGCTTGTTGCTGGAATGCACCCCAGAAAGCAGCAGAGATGGCCCAGTGGGAAGATTCCTGCCACCCATGTGCAGAACCTGGATTGAGTTCCTCCCTCCTTGCTCCAGCACCTGCCCGCCCCCAGACAGTGTGTGAATTTGGGGAGTGAAGCAGCAGAGAATGAATGCTCTCTTCCTTGCACCCATTTCTCAAATACATTATTTTTTAAATTTTTATTTTCTTTAAAAAATATAGTTCAAATAAATAAAAACAAAAGTAAAATATAATTAAAAATAGTTTTAAAATATCTGTTTATTTGATAGGCAGAGAGAAAGATGGAGGAGGATGGGAGAGAGGGAGAGAGAATATAAAGAAAAGAGAGTAGGGAAGGGACAAATGGGAGAACACATTACCTGGGAGCTGGAATCAGGAGCCAGAGTTGGGAAGGGAATTAAACCAGGCACTCCATGAGATCTTAGGTATGTCTTAAATGCTAGGCTCAACACCATCTCTGTCTGAATCCTGATGCCTTAAATCATATTGCATTAAGAAGCTGCACCATGAAGACTTCACTTTAACTTAATTACTGATTTAAAGGCCCTATCTCTACAGTCAAGTCTGAGATACCAGGAATTGGAACTTTATGTAAGAATTTGTAGGGAGTACTATCCAACTGTACCAACAAACAGACTTATAATGATAAAAACCTAACAGGTTTCTTCTTTTACTCACATTTATTTTATAAAAATCACCTAAGAATCTATACAATTTTCAAAATGTAAAGCCTGCTACAGGAAGTAAAAGAGCAAATTAAAATTTTAAAGAAAGGAAAGCCAAATGCTTTTAATTCAACATGACCTGCAGACACCTAGTATAGGGCTTTAAAAACTTGTCTACTGTGCCATCCAAGGTCTAAGAGGTAATCCTTTTGAGAATTTCTGAGGAATGGGAGACAAGCGAGAGAAATTGGTAGGGTACTAGGCTTGCCCTACAAATCACAGGGCTGAGCTATGCCAAAGGGACATCAGTTTCATGTCAAACTCCCAGAAGGAAGCTAAGAGCCCAGCTGGGAGTGAATTAAACATTGGAAAGGGTAAATCATATCAGATGGGGCTTTGCCTCTTTACTTGCTTGCCTGCTTATTTATAAAGAGCATTGGCTTTTATTTTTTGTACAAGCTATACTCACAGGTTAGGGAGAAAAGCAGAAGAGTACAACAGATATAGCATATGTAGATTTCAGTGAGGCTGACAATCGTAGCATAAAAGCTTTTCTGACACAAGCAGGACACTATTGTTATTTGTAGAGCTGTATTCCAAAGAGCAATTTTAGTGGTTTGATGTCAGCATAAAGGAATTCCCAGCAAACTCTTCCTTGGTCTGATATCTTAACATTTTTATTAGATTCAATGGACATGGTGACTCTGCAACTGACAATAACTTAGGAGACAGAGGTTTGTTTGACAGAAGCCAAGAAAAAAGGATGGATGAAAAAGTTTTCAAACAGTCCTCTTAGCCTAGGAGAGAGCTTGAAGAATTCTAGACCTACCACCTTTAAATACAAATATAAGTTTAAATGTGTTCCTCAAATGCATAACATACTTCCAAAGAATTGAGATTTTATTTTCTTCCACCTACCTAGGAGACTCAAACCCATTCCAGCTGGCTGACATAGCCTTATGGTCATATCTTATACAGTTTTGTAACATATGTAACTTAATAAGCACCCATAGTGGCACCAAGTCAAAACTGGCCCTTGGTTGTTGGCTGGAAGGCCTTCTGTGAGGCTGTATTTCATTGAACATCTGAGATGAAAGGAGTTGTTCTTGTAGCATTTTACACATTTATATACTTAAGTATAAGGCCCCAGATACATATCTACCCATAACATTATTTTGGCTGTAGATATAGAGTGTAGAAATACTTCGTGTAAATAAGGTTGAGATGGATTTCCAGCCCACTGCAGCCTCGGATATTGTTAATGTCATCAGAGTCATGTGTTTATCCTATCACAGCTGAACTCATGGCTCAGCAGGTCAAAAACTGTTCTGTGCACTTTTCAACCTGCACTGAAGCCCAACGTCTGGGAGAACATTCAGGAAAATATTATTTCCATTTGTGACTTTCCTTATGGTCACATTGCTATTTTGGCAAAAGCAGGCAAAAGTTAAATGTCTGACAAATGCATATGAGGGTTTTCACCAGCTCATCTATAATTCTGACTCTGCCTTTTAATTTTCATTAGCATAACAAAAGTTGATTTCAAACTGCCTAAGATTCATTTCCTTGATCTCTTATTAGAAATTCATAGGTATCAGACTTTACCTGCAAACTAAGACCGAAACAGTCTAACTTTGCCAAAATTGAAGGTCTGTCCAAGAAAATATACTTTTCTAACACATGCCCCCAAAATGCATGTGTTTGTGTGGATTCTGTGGTTTGAAGGCTCATCTCCTTTAATCTCATGTTGCAATGTAATTTCCATGGTAACAGCATAAAGAGGTGATTAAAACGCTGTTATCACAGGAGTGGGCTCTGTCCCTCTTGTTCCCTCATTTGTTTTCTTTGCTTTCTGCCATGTGATGTTTCCTGCCATCAAGAAAGCCGTCACCAGACGCCAACACCTTGGCCTTGCTCTTCATGCCCTCACAATGGGTATTCTGTTACAATAGCACAAAGCAAAGTCAGAGCACATATACCTGTGCGTTTCAACTCAAGCTTCTCTATTACAAAAGGGTTCAAGAGCATCCACTGAGCACCTACTAAGCTCTAGATGACTAGAGCTCTCTAAACACTAGAGAAGGTGCAAGGATGAATCAAAGTTTCTGCATTCAGTGTGCTCACAATCTGGGGTGGCAGGGGAGAAGAGGTATTGAATAAAGCACTTATGATTGAGCACAAAGGAGGCTTTTACAGAAGCAGGTGTCTGCTCTGGTAATAACACAAAGGATACCATGCCTAATTGCCAATGTGGTAGAATCAGAACATTTTTGCTTGCCTGGGAGCCCTAAGTTTCAGATTCCTCAACGAGGCTGGCAAAATCCCATGAGTAAAATCAAACACACCACTTGCTTTTGTAAGTAAAATTTCAATGGGACATGCACATGCCTGTGTGCTTACATATTGTCTATGGCTACTTTAGAGCTACAATGACTGAACTGAGTGACTGAGACAATATGGTGTGCAGAATAAAGGCCTCCAAAATGTTCACTCCCCTACACCTGGTACATGTGAATATGCTAGTCATACATGTTTTATCAAGCCTCAGGAACACAACCAGAGGCTCTATTTGTCCATCTTATCCACAGCTGGGTATACTATGCTACAGCACTATTGCCAACAGATTGTGAAGAAAGCTATGTGTGCAGGTTCTGTGTAACTCTCTTAAAAGGAAGTAGTTTACCTTTCATCATCCTTGGTCTGTTCCCACATGCTAGGATGCCGATTTGGTGATGCTAAGCCACTTGTGAAGGTAGATAACTTAATTTCCCTGGATCTCACTACTACAGCCTCTGGACTATCACTTGAAATAAAAGTAAATACATATTATTATGATCCAGGATTTCTGTTCAAACAGCTCAGTACCAGTCCTATTTAATACAGGCGAGCAGTCTCCTATCTTCTGGCAAGAATGGGGAGGAAACAGACTAGCTAATAATGAATGAGCTGCTGTAAGCTCAGGAAACATAGGTGCTTAGAGATTACCCAAAGCAACTTGAAACCTCACGTAGAAATTTAAAAACACTGTTTAAAACTTGTGTGACAATCCTGCCAGTGAAAGGTGAATCCTCAGCCCTACGCAGCCCAGCTTCGAGCACATGGACCTTGTAAATCACAGAATTGTCCTCTGCTCCTTCTGAAGTCTTGACCCACCAACTCCACGAGCACATCAAAACAACTGGGCAATACCAGGAAGTTTTGAAGTTTGGTGCAACTCTCCTAAGAATGGAGGAGAGAGGAGTTGGAGCATGAGGCATAAAAATTCACTGACCTCCCAACCACAACAAGCCATTGCCACATTACTGTGACTTTCCATCCAAGTTAAAAGTCCCCAAAGCTTCAACAGCTCATGCCCATAAACCTGAGTCCTCTGAAACACTGGCCTTGCAATGGTGTACATCACAACACTGAGAGATTTGCTACAGGGATACTCAAAGGCCATCACCTTTCTGCTTAGTTTAATGGGGTAAAAAAGCGAGTATGCAGAGGTCCCCAAGAGCCAGCTAAACCTGAGTCTTTTTGGCCACATCCCCACAAGAGCCTAAGATAAACTTGGGACAAAGGATGTCCTGCAGAGGGTGTCAAATAATTGAAGGAAGATCACAAGAGAAATGTCAACAGCCCTGCCAGCACGATTATGATTG